TTTCCCCCTCTTTCATATAACTCACGTTCCATTTGCTTTCATTCAACTCTTCCTTTTACTTTATCTTATGTCCCCCCAGAGGTAAACAACTAACATTGTAAAGCAGCGTTCAGTTTTTAATGCTCCACCATATCTGGAACAAACTCCCAGTAAAACTGCAGGTCTGCTGCAAACTCTCAGGTCTTTTAAGCCAGGGAGCTGAAGGTGTGTGTTGCTTTATTATTCTGTCTTGAAAGCCTTTATGCGCTATGTAAAAGCACTTTGATTGGCCCCTTGTTGTTGAAAATGTTTATACAAATAACTTGCCTGTGGCCCTTGCCTTGCCTTTTGGAATTAAAACGGTTTAATGAATCTGAGAGTCTAAACACAGACGCGAGACAGAGGAAGGAGCAAGACGCAGGGATCAGGGAATAAACGAGAAGCCCTCCGGCCCCCCCCACAGCAGACATCACACAAGGCCATGGTTTCCTTTTTAACTGTTCATTGTTTGAAAGTATATTGATCATTAATTATAAGATCGGCTCCTAACCGTGCTGAATCTCTTCTATAGTGTTTGTGAACTGGTGGAGACGGAGAGAGAGAGAGAAGAGGAGGAGAAAGAAATCCGTTTTCTGGTGTATGACTGTGAAACAGTCAGAAGTAAGCTGGCGCCTCGACGTTAGTAGAGTTAGACCTGGGGAGGGGATACTGGGTACAATAACAAATCAATGTAGTTTTTCAAATTATTTGTTGAATTGAAATCGAGTTACAAAAATAAAACAAAAAAAAAAAAGTTTGGTGTAACCTGTAAAGTTGATTCATGGTGGGTGAAGAAGGAAGCAGGAAGAAGAGAAAAGAAGAAAATCTATCTGTTTATCACCCTTCACACACCTTCCACTGATGTAAAGCATCACTGTTTACTGGAACTCACCAACGTGGCAGGGGGAACATCGATGAAGCCCTTGGAGAACGTTCCCAGAGGACTGTTCTCTGTGGACTGAGAACGAACAAGGAAAACCCACAGGATGGTTGAAGGACTGATTCAAAACCAAAGAGAAAAGAAAAAAGATAATACCCGGTTCACTCCACACCCACCGCTTCGTCCAGCTCTCTGCGTGCGGGAGAACCTGGGGACCTCTCCACACCCGTTATACGTTTGCAGGAAACCACAGCTGCTTTTCTTTCCCCGCCGTAAGTCGCACCTCGCCACCTTAAAGAGAACCGAAGGAGGTTAAACGAACGAACCGCTTGCGGCGCATGTATGAATACACACGCAGGAAGGTGACGCGGCACGCTTTGTGAGCGTGGAGACTCAGCCTCAACCAGCCGCCTCCGCTGCCTACGTCGAGAATGAAGTTGCCTTTTGGGGAAAACCACCCAGCTCGTCCCCCCTCTCTCTGACCGAAGGTTAGTCGTACAAGAGGCTTTTGACGTGCACTGAAACGCAGATGAAACATTTACTTCCCACACTGAAGAAGAAATACTTTCTCACAGGCCCACATCGTCGTTGAAGAAGAAAAGAAAAATTAAATGACTGTTAGCATCTCTTGGCCATGAGTCTTTTGTAGTACAATGAGACAACCACCCGCTGACTGTGCTTGCTTGCCGCAAGCTGTCTTTACTGCCCACTCGGGGCGTGCGGGGGGCGCCGGCCCGCCGCGAATGGCTTAATTGTTAAAAACTTTAAACATCCATAATACAGTTTTGGCTTCAACTAGTTCTACACTCCTCATTTCTTTTTTCTTCCCTCCCATTCTATTGCCCATCCTGATATCTGTGTAGCTTAAACCCTCTGTTATTGTTCCGGGGTCAAATTGACCCATTTTAAAATAAAAAAATCTAAAAAAAAATAGTTTAAAAAGTATTGTTTGGGTATGAAACTCTTCTGCTTGCTTAATAAGTTAATCAACATGTAAAATTCAATCTTGTAGTTCTGATTGATTCTGATTCACTATGAACCCAAATGAGGAAAACTGCTATTCATATCCTCCAAAGCCCAAGGACATTCACATCAAAAAATGGTTCTGTGAAAATACAGTGGGGTTCTATCCCCAAATATACTTCAGGTTAAAACTCTGCAGGAAAGGATAATAAAGACAGTGCCAGGTTCCCGCTAGGATGGCAGGGACTCGTGGGACAGACATCCAAGTCAGCTTTTGAGCTGGTCATGCCCAACTCAATACAAGAAAATCATTCCTATCGAAATGGCATAAATTCTAGAAGGAAGCGTAAGTTTAGGGGAGAAGTGGAAGGAGCAGGATAAAGTGCATTTACATGCATATCTGGGGTCTTTCATCCTGGGGCTGGGGTCTATAAGTCAAAGGATGAATTAACAGCCAGGTCTGTGCGGATGCAGAGCAAGGCAGGGCTATATTGTTGTGTCACAAGTCTCCGGGAGACTTTTCATATTCCTTCTCCAGAGTAATCCGATTTGAATAATCGAGAGACAAAGCGCTGTCAGACGGAGAGAAGACAAGAGACCAAGCTGGCAGCTATCGGGACAGTGTAGGACAAGTGGGTAGGAAGCAAACTTCCACTACTCTTATAACCCCGGCCCTAATGTCACACTGGATGAAACAGAAGAGGTGTCTTGTTAATTTATCAACATCACCCATAAAAAAACAAAATTCAAAATGAAATAAATTAAAAAAAAATTCAATGTCACGTAAAAGTCTTGTATTTTATATGTAGGTCTTTCCAAAGTACATTAAAAAAAAGCTTCTAAGATGCATTTTTTTAATGAAAAACGAGTGAATTATTCCTCATTGAACCATCGATCTGAGAGGTAAAGAACACCATTACACTTAAATATTGATGAAATTGGTTAGTCTTAGTAATGGATTAATAATGAAGCATATAAACAATGTTTATTTGATTTGTGGTTTCTGACCACTTTTGGCATAATTAAAACATGCCCCGGGTCAAAATTGACCAGGAACATCATTGCTGTTCCCTGAGGAACGAACATAACAGGAGGTTAAAGTGGAACTTGAATCTGCCAATTATTTACTAAACTGATTATAATAAGACAAGCATTTCGTAATCATGTGCTGATTTAAACTGAGGCGTCCAAAGTACAGATTTGTTTCTCACTCACCCGCAGCCGTCGGCATTTCTTATTGGCCTCCACGTAGAATTGAAGGCGTGCGCGACTTCATACAGCGCCCCGTAGTCCAGCTCCTGACGGATAAAACAACAAATAAAGAAGGTTATTTCAAACCTTGAAAACTCTGAGGGTCCACTGTGGTCTTTGTCTCTGAGGCTGAAAAATGTTTCTGATAGTGGAAAGAAAAAATTATTTTTTTAAAAAACAATTTAAAATGTTTTAAAATTAATCTGTTTTGTTTTTTTTTTCTCGTATTTAGGTCTTTCAAGTGTGATAAACCGGAATGATAGGAACTTTTAATAGTTGTCGCTGCCGGAACCACATCGTTCCCTTTGTTTCTATCTCAGTGTTGATTAAAAACGAGTTGCCATAGCTGGTTAACAACAGGAAGAGGTCAAAGGAAAGAGGTAAGAGACAAATGGTGAATGACAAGTGATTCCTCTGTTTTCTCAGTTCAGTCCTCATGTTTTCAATCTTTATCATTATGTGCTAACTGGTATGTTATTGGGGTCAGATGTGGGCCATTAGTTGGAAATGGTTTGAACCAATTGAGATTTGAAATTGTTGGCTTTCCTACTTTCCCCGGTCACTAGGTCTATTCTATTTCATTCACAGTGATGTTATAAAAAAAAAATTCACTATCAGAGAC